ATCAGTTTATAAGATCACATAAATAAATATATCAACTATCTATGCCGAGGTTCATAGAAAGTCGGTCTTTCGAGTTATCACCAGGAAAGCCTCTATTCGCACCCTTAATGCAGGAGTTGTCTTGTGAGTGGTGCTTATTCGACAAATATATGTCATATTTTCTTTCTAGGATCTTCTTCGTGAAGTTTGATCATCTGGTCGGTAGTCTTGCCGTTGTACTTTCTACGTGCCATGGGATCCAATTTATGTTGTCCATCGAATGCCGTTATGACACATTTTCTCGTGCCTACATGATTTCATAGTGGCCTATGAAGCAGCGTGCCTGATCATCGAGCGTCAACAAATTTGGAACTACGACGGCACTCTTTTGATGGCGCGTTTGATAACGCTGGGTGACCTTTCATCTTGTCTCCGTAGCGTCCAGATTTCCAAGCAGTACATTGAAATCAAGAGGAAACTGAGTAGAAAAGCCCACAGTTCTGTTTCCTCTCTCCAACTCAGTAGCTCCAACTACGTGTTTCATGGTATTAACTACCACACAGTAAAGAGAAAAAAACTGAGATAATTAATCCATTCCCTTGATCGTGGATGGAACATCAAGAATAAATATTTTGGTCGTGAATATTCTTCTCTTCAGATCCAGCAGATGATCGACCGTTTATAAGAAAGAAAAACTGTATAAATCGGCCAGCTTTTTATGCTTTCGTTAAGGGATTGTATCACCAATGATGTGAAGGTGTTGTAGATACTGATCGATCGCTGTAACCCTCTTGTCAATCCATTACAGTTTTAGCACGATGTTCTTGCGAATGACGAGGAAAAATTTTGATGAAAGAACGTCGCCTCATCGAATCCTGTTCTTTGTGTTGATGATCAAATTGTTTTAGAACAGAGGAAATTCTGGCTGTCGAGTTACTATAAAGAATCAAGGAAATAATGCGTTGATTATTTGAGACCACTATGGCCACTTTCGTCCAAAAAAGCATAGCGGACCCCCTTTTGAAAATCTGAATGGAGTCAACACAATGATGCTCAGATATTTACAAAATTCGGGACTGCAGGTGTCTGCGGTGGGAGTCGAACCCGCTATTACCTTTTCTGGCGGCTAGTGCTTCACCACCAAACCATGCGAACCCTTCCTTTCGCATTTCTCCCATCTAGTTTTCTATCTACCACTGCCATCAGCAGTCATCCGACAACAGGACTGATATGGAGGGAGGCTGTAGTTGAAATCGTGGTCGTATTTCACATAATACCCTGTCGCGAAAAATTTTGTAGCCAGAAAATAAAAAGTTAACCGAGTCAACATATTTTGCAACTTAGCATAGGTCTTTTTCCACTAAATCTGGCAAGTTTTCCAGGTAAGCCTTCTCTTGAGAAGGATGTGATATATTTGTAGACAATTATTAATGTAAATCTTACTACTTTACCTCCGTTGCGAGCAGAACCGGGAGTCTAATAATTATGCTCAGACCAACCAAGATGGAAACGGTGATACAGCGACCTTTGTCGTTGAACACTGGAGCGAACACGAGTCTGAAAAGTGTGAAATTCTAGACTTCGGAGAATCTCTCCGAATTTTTTAAAATTAAATTCAGCTTTGAGGAGAAACGAACCGCGTTTTTTCCCTTGTGGTCCAGACATATCTTTCCAGCGTGATAAGAATAAGTAGGAACGGAATAGCGAATTGAACTGTTTTCGCAATGAAAAATATAGGGATAATATAGCGATGGTAGAGAAAGAATAATGTCTATAGAAGGAAAAAACAGTTGGGACAAAAGATAAATGGACATGAACCTATTAATAATTGGTTCATAGCGGTAAACAGTTGAAATATAGCGTTTTCAATCAATCTGCTGACTGAACCATTAAGTATTGAGGTAAATGCACATCGTTCTAATAAACTACAGTAGAAAAAAGATATAAATCTTTATGATGAGTGCAAAAAAAATAAGAAGTGGTTCTTTCAAAATCTACTTTTCTTTAACCTCTGTATGACTAATCAATATGTATTCTTTCTTTGATAAGCTTACACGAGGCTGATGGCATCCTTTATTTTCGGCTAGCGTTTCGACGGTATCGTCTTCAACAGAGCCGATAATCCGATTGGATGGTCCACACTTGTTCATGATCTCGAGGTGGCGTCTTCGTCTTCTCGAAGAGATGAGAGAGATGCTCCATTGAAGATCTAACTCGATACAAAGTGAAGACGCCACCTCGAGAACACATACAGCTATGGATCATCACCTCTGATGAAAATGATACCGTCGAAACGTTAGCCGAGAGTGAAGAAGTGATTGTGCTTGATTTTTATTAGTTAAGGTTCCGATTTTGGTTTTCGGGTGGTTGTCTGAACAATTGCCTTTCTTTTCCAACTATTGGACTTAAATCGACAATATATTCAATACAAGTCCATCACAAACCAAGCAAACGGATAACTTCTCTTCACTTTTTATCCTGTTTATATAAAGGAAATGCTCTGCTTTAAAACTTATTTTTGTCGAATTTTACCCAGGATTTCTTTTTATGAGCACTAATTCTACCTTGTTTCTAAGGTATACGAATCCGGCATCAACACCGAATAACAACAGATACGTCAAGCATATCAGCATATCCATAGAGGAAAGACATGCCAGATATACCGATGATGGTAACGTTCTCCAGAAGACTGCCATCAACAACTGAATTCAAGGAAAATTTGCCGATTTTATGAATAAGAACCAAAAGCTGCATCGAAAAATCTTCTTACTAATTCATACCATATTTGCTAAAATACCGAAAATCGAAACCATAGAGAATACTGTAATGATCACGAATCGTTGAAGCGTATATCCTTCAAAGAAGCCACATTCTTCTAGTTCCTGGCTAAAATTCATTGCGTTGATCTGTAATAAGTTTAATTAATAAAGAAATTATTTAAGCAATTAGAACGAAAACTCGTAAGAGACGATGTACAGAGAGAAAAATGAAGAAGATAGGCGGAAAAAGCTGTATGACGTCATCTGAATCGACTAACAAATTTGTTTCAACCAGCTAACAGTTTTCTACGAGAAAAAAAACCACCAATTAAGCTTTCGGTCACCAATTAAGCCTTATAGGGGCGGGTAGTGCAGTGGTAACGACCGCAATCGTTAGATGTACGGCTCAACATACGCAGGCACTAGGTCTACCTCAATCTTGTACCACCAGTCCTCTTATCGTTCCAGGATCGAGAAGTTGGCACTAGGCTTGTCTGGAATAAGCTCATTTTCTCTAATTTACGCGGAACACCCTAGCACGTATCTCAGAAATCAAGGGAGAATTGAGTAGGCCAGCAGTCATGACGAAAACAGAAGCCTTCAAGCAGCAACCTGAGCCACACGCTGAGCAACGAGGAAAGTTCGAAGACCTTCGTAGAGAGTGCATGTGAGGAAGCGACACGGATGCAAGTGTTGGCATCCGCAGCGCGACACATGCGATGTCGGTTCACGTGACGGCGAAAAAAAATTTAGAGGTAGGTTGCTTCCAGAAAATGCGAAAAGAAAAAACGCAGCAATCGCGTAAAGGGTTTTAAGTCGTTTCACTTCAATTTCGAAAAAAAAGGAAAACCTTGGACTCTAACGGTGTCAACAATGAATGAGAATTCGTGAACAAATTATTGAATGTGAAACCTTCTAAGATTACAAAAATCAGATACCACTAGCTATTGCTGGCTGCAGCACCTTAACATCATCGAGAAGATGAAGGTTGAAGTTCTTGAAGCTGGAAAATCCTAGAGGGAAGCACCAATGAATTTCACTCCATTCATAGCACTGCAGAGATGATTGAATGCACATATGGTTTAAGCAATGACTTGTGGTAGCACCAAGTGCATTAAACCGGTGTTTTTACCCTTCCAGTCCAGTTCGGTATCAATTTCCAGACGTCTGAGAGATGGAAGGCTTGGTGAGCCTGGGCGCGAGATCCAACAAACGATTAATCCATTGTGTATTGCAGGAAAACTATGACTACTGCAGTATACGCTACCTAACGCCGGCGTACCGACAGTAATGAACGGCCTCCAGGTCCTCTGCATGATTGCTATGCTCAAGTTCACGGCTTAGAGCTCTCCTCAAAAACAAGAGAAAGAAGGAACTGAAGAGAAGATGGGCATTTTCATCGTAGCAGCATGACCAAGACTACTCGACTTCATCTAAGCCAGTGTTATTGGAGGAAATAGAAAAGTGACAGAACATCGGGAAGCGATTTATCGGATTATGAAATATGAAAAGAAGCGAGTATTGTTTACCATATATTATTTAATTCATTCGTTTTATTCGTATTCATTAAATGGCACAGGTGTCTTTGAAAACGCCGCACTAATGTTTTTAGTTCGACATCACCTACTCTGTAGATTTCCACCTTTTAGATTTCACATTGAAAAACTGATTAAATGGAAGCATTAGAAATATAACTTAATTTCCTTTAATCTACTACTCACAACTTCCGCTTTCACCTCAACAACAATTTCCTCATCACTGAAAACTAAGGAACCACTGCTGGAAGAAAAATCCCTTTAAAGTTCTAATCTGGTTGTAGTGTTCAGTGCTGCCGTTTAAAATCTGGTAAAGAATTATCAATATTAAAGACGACGGGACTGAGAGCACAGTGGTAGTAATGTCGGTTATCACGAGCATGGCGTTAGTTCGATTCTAATCCGGGACAACCAAGCCTCTTAATGAACATCGTCAAACAGTACCCGAAGCCACACGTAAAAAGTTGGAAGGTCTTCACTGTTAATGGATGCGAGGAATCCGATCGAATGTGAGAAGTGCTGGGATCCGCATGGTAAACATGAAGACGGGTCATATAAAAAAATAAAAAATAAAAAAAGACGATAAGAGTCCTAGAGGCAGTCTAATGCGTAGTGAATTTGATGAATGCGAAAGTAATTCAAAAATAAATGAATTGTTAATAGATTATGCTCGTAAGAATTCATAACCGATTCATGAAATGTGATTTCATGTGAACACCGCTCGTTGTTTACCTTCGTGAATCTCTCACTATTTTTCGATTAGTCCAACCTATTCAATAGCATTTTCTTAACCTAAAAGAAATAAGCCAAAAACGACGAGGAATTATTTGCAAGAAATTAGCTATTTCCCGTATCCTAGAAAAGCTGAACAGCCATCCGACCTCGTGCGACGACGGGCGTTTCATCGGTAGGCGTTCAGAAAGTTTCGCCTCATTCTCATGGGAATATGCTCTGCTCTGTTGTCGTCTAATAGGATACCTTGAAGTGGAACGCCGAAAGATTTCATTGCTTTGTTATTCGTGAAAACATACATGAAGGACAGAACAGATACAGATGTTGTTATACGAGGTACTAAAGAATTGCGACTCTCTGAAACAACATAAACACCACTATTCCAATCAATGCCTGTTGAAAAAAAACTTCGATAACAAAACAGACAATGTCTTAACTTTTATTTACTATCCACTCTTTTTACGTGGCAAGACACTATGCGAAGTGCAACCACGAGGATTCTGAGAAATGAGCAAGACTCAGGCGAGTTTCGAACCCACTTTTACTATTACCGGGTGCACGCCTGCTACTTACCACGCCAACCGATGCGCTTCAACTGCCTTTTTCTCAGTCATGTTTTCTTCTATCGGTGTTATCAGCAATCATCCGAATGAGCGAAGCACCGATATAGCAAAAACAATGGCTGAGAGAAAGGCAAAGAAGGACCTCGATTGGTGCGGTGGATAGCACGTGAAGCAGCTGTAAGGGTAGTTGCGGGTTTGAAACTCACCTGAGGTTCGTATCACATCATCTTTATGGTTGCATTTTACTTACCTAGATAACTGGACAGCTGGTGCGCAAATAAAGGACTTAACTAGTTCTTCCACACGTTTCGTTGTCTTGAAATCGTCAACCAGAAACGTAGCTGGGCTCATGTGCGATTTTAGGAGCTCTGGTTTTTTCCACTTCATTGACATATTGAATTCATTCAGTTCGTTTTATCCTGGACTATAAACGTGACCGTGGTTGAGTGTTCCTAGACCTTTACTGCAGAATGTCGCCGACCCTAATGAATGGCAAGGATACATGTTCTGTTGCACACAAGATTCTTCCACAACAACAGTCACTTTGCTATTGCTAGGTCGACCTATCAATGGTGATTGGACAACGAGGGTCCTGAGCCCATTACTAAACTATGAATCACTTGTGAGTTAGGCATTTCCATTGTATTCTTCATTGATAGGCTAAAATTTTCAAGAAAAGGCACTTAAGAAACTGGACATCCACACAGGATCTTTGCAACATTGCTTGATTGTTGCGAAATAGAGCAGATTCTATGAATTGTAAGAAAAACCCTCTAATGAAGACTGTGGGTTGTATAAATAAAACAATGGCAACAAGAATCCGTAACAGCAGTGGCAACAATAACAACAGCAACAGAAGTCACAATAGCAACAATTCCAATTCCTAAACGACACATTTAGGAGTTTCCAGCAACATTTTGGCAATCATAGAAGGAAGGGTTGGCTGGGTATAATAAAATGCAACAGAATTCTTTTGCAAAGAAGCTGTACCGTTTTCCTGCAATGGTACCTTTCTGTCGGACGAGTTTCACCATTTTTAAGGCAGTCAGTATGAGAAAAACGATGAGGTTGCGACACACAGGAGCAAAAGAAGACGTGCGTTGAAACGATTATCCGTGGTTCTGTATGATCCATAAGCATCGGTGTTGATAATGTAGGTGTTTCATTAATGGCCTTTGAACGACTATTAATATAATGCATACTCCCAACAATTGGGTTAATTACAACATCGTGGCTAGGGAGAGTGATTTTACTGGATGTCCAATCGCGAAGTACAACACAAGCCCACAACCCCACCACGTCCACGCTCCCACCTTTCTTCACAGGGTCATATAGATTGAATTTTGTCATTTCTATCTGGATAGCCAGTTGAGAGTAAACCAATGACAAGGCATACCACGGTAAACAAGGCGGATCAACCACCCACCCAAAACCGTAAAGTAAGAGGAACATAATTGAAGAACAACGGACTTTTAGTATAACACCAATATATCTTGCTGTTTTCATGTAGTGTTTTTTGAGTGAGCAGTGCTTCACTAGGTAGTTCTGATACTAGGCGGAAACAAATGAAAGCTTGAAGGCTTTGTTGGTTGCAGTACAAGTTACTCGATAATTAATGAGATTATGGGTGATATAGACGATTATTGAACTTGTTTTTGTGGAACGACATTAGTCATTTCTAGCAGCAAAATACGATCTTTTAAAAGAAGAATGAGGAAAGGATTTTTATAAGGAAAACCCAATAAAGCCAGTTTTAGGCCTAATATTAAAAAAGAGCCATTAAGGTGCATTAAAGTGTTGTGACACCTTCATAGGGATAAGAAGAAAATAATCACAATGAGTGCTTTTTTAAAGTTAAAGCATGTCGTTTTCCTATAATATTGTAGCTCAAGTCAAGCATTCGCATGTACTTCTTTGATGTTCACATAACTATGAACAGCAATCATCCTAAGAAATATTCCTAGGTTGTAGTGTGATCTCAGAGCAGTCACTGTTTTTTCGTAATCCGCAATTCGCAGAAAGTCGGACATGACCTCCATGACCAAAACCTGTAGATTGTACAGACAGAAGGCAAACTTTCTAAATTTAAGGAAGAGTAGAAGGAAACACTTAGCACCAAGAAAAACTAACGGACCCATTGTTCATTTGCCAGAAATCAATAAATACATAATAAATACGACATCTCTGAGACCTCCACTGAAATAGTCTTACAAACAAAGCGAATGGCACGAGATCGAACGATTTCTTAAGCAAAGAGCATCATACTATAAATTTCCCTCCCAATGGTTTACCGCCTCATCGTGGCTGG